CGCCCAGCTCCTCCAAATGCCACTAGCCAAAGGTGGTCGTGGGGCAAATAGGCACCCGTGGTGGAGCAAGACCAAGCAAAACTGTCAGGCACATCCGGGTTCCTAGCCACCGAGGCCACCGCCTGACATAAATGCATGCACTGGAGTTGAGCCATGAAAGAGGCCTCGGGTTGACAGTCCAGAACCCATCTACCATCCGTCAAGCCCTCCTGCACCGTTCTGGACTTAATAGTTCTTGGCTGCACCGTGTCAAGGATCAGGGGTGCGATGTCTATGACCGTCATTCCAGTGTAGTGGTAGTGTGAAACCGAATGAGTAAGGACGTTCCGTGTACACACACGTTCAACGTGCATGCGATCGGGTTAGGCTGATCACAATGGGCAAGAACATAGTCTAGTAGCTTACACACTTTCCTAGACTATGTTACTACCTCCACAGTGGGTAGAAACATCTATATAGTGTCATGCAACAATGTATTTATTAGGTTATAGACTCATTGTTTCTTGAAGTGTGTGATGTTCCGGTAACTTAGCTAGTTACCACAAGCACCTCTCTCTTCATTAAATATGTGACACATAAGCAAAGTTGTATTGGAGTGTGTGATGTTACTTCTAAGTTCCTTCCCATTGTGACCAGCCTTAGTTAATTAAGCGCTTAAGTTCCCGAGGGGTGCATGCGCGCATAGTTCTTCCACGCCGAGCAGTTAAGTGGAAATTAACTGCTTGAGTGCGGCGGCAAAGCCTTTTGAATTCCTGAACCACCGCCAGTGTGCACTCCGTGTTTATATACGGTTGCTCTGCCTAATCAAAGCCTTCTCCTTCACCGCTCTCACTGATGCGATCTTCCACACCACCAAAGAGACGCTAGAGGATGGAGGCCGGCGGTCCTAGTAGGAAGAAGCGGAAACCAGCAGCCGGAGTCGAGACCGCCGACGAGGCCCCGGCGCCGGCGGAGACGGAAGCGCCCGATCCCGGAGTGGGCGAAGAGGATGATGGACTCGTCGACCGCATCAGCAGCCTCCCCGACGGCGTCCTCGGCGACATCATCTCCCTCCTCCCCACCGACGAAGGCGCCCGCACCCAGATCCTCGCTACCAAGTGGCGCCACCTCTGGCTCTCCGCCCCACTCAACCTCGACTGCACTCACCTGCTACACCGTTACCGTAATCATGCCGACCGTGCTGCTGGTGTCGTATCACGCATCCTTTCTTCCCACTCGGGTCCCGGTCGTCGCCTCCGCGTGGACAACCTACACCACTTCGACCTCGGAGCCGTCGATGACTGGCTCCGGTCCGGCGCTCTCGACAACCTACAGGAGCTCGAGCTTGGATGCTATCCAACAGTGGCACTTCTGCCGTCCTTCACCTTCCGCTTCGCACCCACCCTGCGCGTTGCCACCCTCAAAATGTGCAACCTCCCCGACGGTATCATCCAAGGGCTTCACTTTCCCCTGCTCAAGCAGCTCGGGCTTCATTATGTCAGCATTTCGGAGTGCTCGCTGCACAGCTTGATTGCCAGTTGCCGGGCTCTCGAGTGCTTGCTTATATTACACAGCACTGGCTTCGGCTGCCTTCGGATCAACTCCCTTACCCTTAGGAGCATTGGTGTTGATAATAACAATAGTGATTACCGAATTCCTGTCCATTTCAAGGAACTCATCATCGAGAATGCCCCTTGCCTTGAGAAGCTGCTCCATCTTCATGTCGGCGCTGGTTTGCATCTGTCTGTGGTTTCAGCGCCTCAACTGGAGACAATAGGCTACCTTTCTGATGGTTACTACCAGAAGGTCAATCAGGATTATCTCTGCAAATTCGAGTTTGGCTCCACAATTATTCAGGTATTACCATTTTGAGGCATTTCAATTTCAATTTGTTTGTTGAAAAATTATTTAATTATCACTTGATTTGCGAATGGGCTCCTGCAAAAGAACAAAAGACATTGTAAACTGGCTAATATGTTGCCTTTTATGCTTGCTAAAGGGATTGCGCGTTGATAAGCTGGCAATGGTCCGCACAGTCAAGACTTTAGCTGTCCAACTGAGAATACTAAGTTTGGATACGGTTATTCAGTTGATGGCATGTTTTCCATGCTTGGAGAAATTGTACATTCGAACTGCGGTGATGATTCTTCATTCATTGAATGTTCAAACACTTTCGATCTTCTTTCTCTTCTCAGATGATTGGTTTACTTATTTCTATATGTTATTTTTAGTTTCGTGTGCCAGAGCCAAAGCCAAGCAATGTGTGGCGTCGCAAACACCGGGATCTGACCAGATGTCCTGATATCCGTCTGAAGACAATAGTGTTGGATTCCTATCGTGGCATCAAGTCTGAAGTTAACTTTGTGACATTCTTTGTATTGAATGCGAGAGTGCTAGAGCTGGTGAAGCTTGGGGGTTGCTCCGGCAATAAGGAATTCTTGGCAGAACAACGTAGGAAGCTTCAGCTGGACGAAAGGGCTTCAAAAGGGGCTCGGATTCATTTTACAACTCGTAGTTGTGTCCGTTATATTCTGGATCATGTCCGTGATTTGGATGTAATTGATCCATTCTTACTGTAGTGTCAAAAATGCTTGCGACGTGTCTGTTTGCTCCAGCCTTGACTAGTTGTGGTGTTTGTAGTTTCTGTAGTACTATCCTGGAAACTTATTAAAGAACCTATCTGTGTTGTTTGGTTGATATACTATGTGAGAACTCTTGCCTATCAGCCTATCCAATTTAGTGTTTTGATTAGTTGTGTTTTTTGTAGTTTCTTAAGTTTATAAAATCCTGGAACCTTGTGACACCACATGAGCTACTCCCTCCGTTCCAAATTACTCGTCGCAGAAATGGATATATCTAGAATTAAAATACATCTAGATACATCCATATCTGCGACAAATAATTCGGAACAGAGGGAGTATTTATGATGTACTTACTACTTACCGCCTTACCGAAGTACTGGTCCTACTTCTCTTCAAGGGGCTTCACTTCCAGAGGCAGATTTGGAGGAGGTTTGCACAAGGCTAGTGGCAGTTGGTGAAGTGATTGAAAGGGTCATTCTTTGGATCTAAGATTATTCGATCATTGCTGAAAGCTAAGCCTAGGTACCAGTTGCGCATTGTGTCAGCAGATTCAGCAGAAGTAGTATCTGTAGCTGCCAGTTCTTGGCAATAGTCATAGGAAAAACCAGTGGAAAAAAAAGTTACCCTTCAATCTAGCTTTGACAAGACTGTTAGAACTTAGAACTCCCGCTTATTATAACCCTACCTTTGGCAAGCGTCCATTTCTATGGACGAATTATTTGGAACAAGTAAAAGAATTATTTACGAGGACATAATGCTGAAATGAAAGAACAAAACACAAAACTGGACATGACTTAGTACAAGATTCAGTACAAAGTACTATTTCTACAAGATTCAGTACATAGTATTTAATATAAATGGTTTGGGCCGGCTAATGCCTGCTGTAGTTCACCTAAAAATACTTTGTAACTGTGAACAAATTTATATAGAAAAGCTAGCAATGTCTACAATACAAGTCAATATCATTATATCCATCACTAAATATATTTTCATACTATATTTATTTATATTAAAATGTTGATATTTTTTATAATTTGATCACAATTTACAAGGTTTAACTTAAGGAAAAACTGTCATTCACTATGTTTAACAATAGAGAGAGTACACCTATTCTCCTCAATCTACAAAAACTTCCGTTCACCGGTATGGCTGTTCTTTTTCCATCTGAAGTCCATCTGCTGACCAAGGTGCATTGTCCAAGCTGCTATTTCCTCGGAGGCTTCCCGAGTGGATTTTGCCTGATGTGGGAATTTTGTTGGCGGCTCAGTGTGATGTGAGTGCTGGGCATGGAAAAAGTCATTCCAGAGATTTCCTGCTTTGTGGTACAAAAATGCTATGACAATGCAGTGTGGGCATCTCATGTTCTGGTCAATGCTTCTTTTGTGCCTACTGTTGTGTTTTGCTATGTGCCCAGGTTAATGGCATCTTTGTGTTCCCCAGCAATTATGTCCTGGTTGCTGAACTAAAAATTTCAGAACACTGAGAAATTTCAAATGCAAATGTAACAAGATGGCAAGATTTCACATTTCGGAGGCCCTGATGTTAGCAAGGCCACTAACCCTGATTGTGATATTCTATTTTAGTCTTATTATATTCCTACTTGCTAATCAATGAAGTGTTTTAGGTGCAGATTAGTATTGATTGGTCCAGCTTCCTTTTTCATTTTATCTTACTTGATTGTGAGATGTTAATTTTCTGTAGTTGCTGGTGACAACATGACATTCATAATTAGGTCCTTACATATCTTCATTTTATTTATATTAGAAAAATAAAAGCAATATGAAAAGATAGCACCTACACACCTTAATTTTATTTATATCACAGTAACAAAAACAATATAAAAATGTAACACCTACAATTAGTAAACTAAAAGCATCTACGCATCCTCACAATTACTATAACCAAATAGTATAAATTGCCTCCATGATAAAACAAATATCCCAATCAAAAACTACTCCCTCCGGTCCTTTTTAGTTCGCATATAAGATTTGCCTGAAGTCAAGCATCGTAAAGTTTGACCAACTTTATAGAAAAAAACATCAACATTCACAATGTGAAATCAATTCCGGTAGATACGTCATGACTTAATGTATTGTACAACTTTAGCATGGTAGATATTAATATTTTTTCATACAAATATGGTCAAACTTTGTGAAGTTTGACTTCAGACAATTCTTGTATGCGAAGTAAAAAGGACCGGAGGGAGTACAAAATTAACATCTTCTCTACAAGTAGTGTATGTATCTAAGATAATCTACTGTACCCAGAGCAAGTAATTGGTTGCCAATGTCCCTCTCATCTCCAGTTCCTGATCTGATTTACAATTTCGGATTGCAAATCAGTATAAGGCCTTCTACTGATTTGAGCATCTATGAAATACTGAGTCATCTAGGGAAAGAACCAAGGTGATTTGGATTGAGATCACCTGTTGAATACTCCTTAGCAACAGAATGGACAGCAAGAACAGCAGGGAAACATTTTTGTCGCTGGCGGTGGCTCCACCGGTGCTGGAGCCGGTTCCGCTACCGGGGCTTCTTCAGGTTTAGGTGCTTCCATTACAGCTTTCGGTGATTCCATTGCGGCTTTCGGTGATTCCATTGCCGCTTTCGGTGATTCGTTCTTCTCATCATGCGGCTCTGGCTCTGGTGCATGACTCAGTTGCGCTGTGCTTTGTCGGGCAAGATCTGGTTGGGTGTCCTTCGAGCACCCACTGGCTTTCTCATCGCCTGCCAATCTGAAGACACTGTAAATCAGACCGCGATTTGGGAAAATGCGCCCAGAAGTCATTCACTGGGATTGGATATTTCACCAAGTGAAAGAAATATCATACACTTAACTCTTCTTGTGTCTGGGGGTACTCTAATTATTACCGTTAGCTTATTTAAGCAACAATGGGAGCTAACAAAATTCAAACATTTTAACTTTTTAAGACTAAAGTTCTTGATATGAGATCATTTTTTGCCTAAGTGAAAGATTGCGCAGAAAACAATTTTGTAATTAAGTTGTTCATTGAGATATCTACTTATATCTTCACAGGCAGTTAGCTATTTAAGGAGATAAAAAGAGTGTCATTGTACGGTGATAACTGAAAAGTCGAGAAAGAACTTCATACTGAAAAAAGTTAGCTAATAGAGGGTGCATGTTATAGAGAGGCCATACATCAGGAATGCAAAGTTGGTTGCGCTTCCTTCGGAACGATGAGATATGCTATCTATGTGATCCGCGTCTCCTCCCCCCTTCACAGTCGAGTTGTCTTCCCCGGTTGCCTTGGGTGACACTGCCCCCTTTATGGGGCTGGACCCTGGGCTCTGCTTCGACAACTGTTGCAATGGCGCCAAATGCTCGTTGGGGTTGCCCATCTCACCCGACTTGCCATACAAGACCTTATGGTCCTTGGAGAAGCTCGTGTTCCCGACGTTGATGCTGAAGAGAGCCTCGTTCGAAGTGACGCTCCAGTCGGTTTGCAATGTTGACGTCCTTGCGAAGACTGACGAGGGGATCCTTTTCGGGTCTGGGGATCCGTCGAGGTTTGGTCCGGCCAGGGAGAATTGGGTATTGAGGACCGGTCCCTCGATCTGGAAGAAATCATCGTCTTCGTCCAGGTGCTCCGATGAGGAGGAGGATGAGCCGGCCACTTTCTTCTCCTTAGCATCCTTGGGTGCAGGGTTGGCATTTGTATCAGTGCTCATCTGTGCACTATTGTCGTTCCGTGTTAATGTGCCATCATCTGGTGTCAAGATTCAAGTGGATTTGTCGAGGTCTTGCTGTGGTAACACTGCATGGGCATGTGTATGTAGTTCCTGATGAATGGAAAACAAATTCAAAACTTAGCCTCTAATTAAGACATAATTATTTGTGCTACCTCCGTACATATGTGAACAAAACTACAGACAGGAAAAGGTACCAGGAACAAGGCTTTACCACATTATTCAATCAGAGCATTTCATTATTTCCTTTCCCCAGGTCAATTTCTGTACGAATCAAAGGACGGGTCTCAAATATCAATACTACTGCACATTTCACAAATAAAAAACAAAGCAGAAGAACGATGTGGAATGTATGGCAATACAGAAAGAACAATCAAAGAATTAATATAGTGACAGGCTTACCTCTTTCACCTTTGCAAACAAATGTCTTCTGTTCCTTCGATTGATTTTCTTGGGATGCGGGGCGCGGAAGATAACAACAGCAAAGAGAGGTTACTAAACTCAAGAAAGAATCGCCTCAGACAGAGACAGGGATGGGTGGAGGAGCAAATGGAACTGGCTAGGAGCAAGTGTGGGTGTAACAGTTGGTTTGTTTGCGGAATAACTTCACCCACTCATTCCCATTGCAGGACTTGACCACTCATCAAGTGTGAAGAAGAATGCCGGAGGATGGGCCAACATTACACTATAATTAGCCAATCAGTTCAGAGTTTCACGCTGATGCATGCAGACGTCTCGAGAATCTAAATTAAGCATGCATTGCAGTGCCGAGGATCTGATCCGACAAGACCGGAGAGTGGGGAAGGACGACAGGCAAGCCACACCACCTCCGCTTGTTCCGAATAAATCATGCAGCTCAACCCTCTCGCCACTGTCATAGGAGCACATAGCCGTGGCTCATTCTGCAGGATAACTGGCGTATCAGCTACTGACGAAGCAGGCATGCAGAGGCACATGCATGGTCATGGCGTCCCTTGAGGCCAGGTGTTCATGCCTACTTCAGCATTGGATCTTGTGGCTTTGTTCTTCCCTACCTGACCAACTTCATGATTTACCTCGCTCGCATACGAAGCAGGCTGACGTGATCTCATCGGACAGCACTCCCTGACACCCCATCTCTCCAAACAAGGTGCATGCCTCGCCGGTCTCCCCAGCCTGCGTCCTGTCCGGCGCAATCTCACTGAAGAACAGCCAAGAGTCCCGCAGCGACCCTGTTGACACATAGGAATGCAGGAGCGTGTTACGCATGATCATCTGCCGCACATACCCCAGGTTGACAAGCACTCCATCGGCGGGCAGCACGTGCTCGGCGGCCTGTGCCCTCACGCACGCCTTTGAGCACGAACGGAAGCGTGAACATGTTGGGTAGGATTCCGCGCCGGAAGATGTCCCGGTGTAGACAGAGCGCCTCTTGGGGTCAACTGCTATTGGAGCACGCCCGGATAGGGCTTTTGTGCATGAACCTGTCCGGGTCAGGAATTCTGTCGAACAGGTGACGGGCGCGGAAGAGTCAGCCGTGTCCAGCAGCACCTGAGAGCGCGCAGTAGGAAGGGCAAGCTGGGAGGCGAAAGGGGCCACGCCGGATGAGCCGTGGGCGAGGAGATGGGCGTGGAGCTGGTCGAGGTGCCGGATGGAGCGGCAATGGCGGAGGAGCTCAACGACATGGCGGGAGGCGAGCATCCAAAGCATTAGGCGCGCGGCGTCCGTCCATCAACTTCCCTCCAAATCATGAGCACTATGGGCCGTGTTCAACCAAAAGTGAGCCTTATGGACCGTAAACTAATAGATGGGCCGTAATTGCACGCTAGAACGTCTATGCCACTAAACATTTTCTGAACCCGCACCACGCGGCTACGAGTTCCCCTAGGCGTAAGACCTAGGGTTTCGAAATCTTCCGGCGTGCGCCGCCGGAATCTATCACAAGCTCCTCGACGTTGTTACTGTCCTGATTCAGGGAGCTCGGGCGATCAAGGGGGGTCCTAGTGACTCTACCGGACCCAGGTTCCTAGGGTTTTTTCGGACGGGAGCGAGGGGAGGCGAGATCGGATCTGGAAAGCGATGGCGGAGACAAGCAGCTCGCAGGGGAGGCAGGAAAAAGAGGCAGCGGAGGATCTGCTTGCCAGGCTAACGCTGCAGGAGGAGGAGGAAGATGAGTTCATATGGGAGGAGGAGCTGCCGGACATGGCGGAACCGGCGAGATGGCTGGCGATCGCCCGCGTGCATACACCCAAGACCTTTAGCCCTAACGCGCTGTACAACGACATGCGAGCGGCATGGAACCCTGCCAAACAGGTAGTATGGAGGAAGGTGAAAGCCAATCTGTTCACAATGCAGTTCGGATGCTTGGGCGACTGGAATAAGGCGATGCTAGAAGGGCCATGGCTGTTTAGGGAGCAAGCGGTGATCATGGAAGAATACGATGGTTTCAGAAATCCTGACACTTTCGTGCTGAATAAAATTTCTGTATGGGCACAGATTCATCGTTTGCCAGACAAGTTTCTTATTGAGCCGGCTGTGAAGGGTTTGGCATCAAGGATAGGTGAGGTAGAGGAGGTGCAACTGAAGTTACCTGCCGGTTTCTTTGGAGAATTTGTGAGGGTTAAAGTAAAGATAGACATCAATGCAAAGATCAAGCGTTTTGTGACTGCCAGAAAGGAAGAGGAGAGTTTCAAGTACCAAGTAAAATATGAGAAACTCCCAACTTTTTGCTATAACTGCGGCGAGTTCGGTCATTGGCATGAGGAGTGTGGAGACGGGGTGCATGATGAAACGACCTTTCAGTGGGGGGAGTTCATATTCGCTGACAATGTACGCGGTAAGAACGCTGGCAGAGGATATACACAGCAGAGGGGAGGGGGGCGACAAGGCGCAGGAGGCAGAGGAAGAGGCCGAGAACCCTACAACCCGAATCAGAGCTGGCGTTTTAACGCGCGTCCGCAGTATCAGCAGGAGCCGCAAGAAAAGGAGGCGACATATGAGAACCCAGGTGGGAAGGATAGCCCAATGGAAGGGGATTCAGGGGGCCTGTCTCCTGGTTTGTCCGGGACCTTAGTGTCATCTAACAAGCGTAATTCTGTTGAAAATGTGGCGAGTGGTTCAGGGGCATCGCTGGATGGAGGTGGACAAGGGGAGCGCATGGAGCTGATAGTTCGTGATACTATGGTTCCACCTCTCCCACCTGTTTATGTATCACCGAGGAAGGAACGAAAGAGGCCAAAGAAGGCAGGTATGTCAGAAGAAACACTCGAGGAGGTCAATGCGGGGATGTCAACCATAAATGCAACAACGGCGGGCTCCGATCAGGAGCGCCGCCGAGCACAATGAGTATCTTATGTTGGAACTGTCGCGGCGTGGGCAAAGCCGCGACAGTTAGAGAGCTTCGCGATTTAGCGAGGAATTTTGCCCCTACCCTGTTATGTATTGTTGAAACTCAGACCGATGGATCTAGGGTAGAAAGGTTAGCAGGAACTATTGGCTATGATAATGGCTATGCAGTTAGTAGTCAAGGTAGAAGTGGTGGTTTAGGTTTTTTCTGGAATAATCCAATTAAGATCGAAATTCTTGGTTACTCGGTGTATCATATTGATTGCTCTGTGGAGGAGCCAGGAAGTGAACCATGGAGAATGACGTTGTTTTATGGAGAAGCAAGAACACACTTGAGACACCAAACATGGGATGTTATGAAGGGGATAAGCAATTTGAGCGAGCTACCGTGGGTTTGCATTGGTGATTTCAACGAAGTTTTACGTCCGGATGAACAAGAGGGAGTGGGAGAAAGGAGTAATGCTCAAATACAGGGATTCCGAGACGCGGTTGACATTTGCATGTTGATGGACATGGGCTATCAAGGCCACTTTTGGACTTATGAGAAGAAGGTGGTGGGTGGAACCTACACGCGAGTTAGGCTGGATCGAGCGATGGCCACAGCAGAATGGAATGAGATGTTTCCCCAAGCATACCTGAAACACTTAACGGCATCGACATCTGATCATTGCCCGATTTTGCTGGAATTTCGAGGGAGAGACCGCCCGCACCTAAAGAAGGAGTTCAAGTACGAAGTCATGTGGGAAACACATGAGACTTGGCCGGAGACGATTATGTCCACATGGACAAAAGGCGGAGCAATGGGTACAGTAGAAGAGCTCAGCAGGAAACTGAAAAGGATCTCGGGGAATCTGGAAGCATGGAATAAGAACACCTTCGGCTCCGTCAGAAAAGAGATAAAACATCTGAAAAATGAACTAGAAAGGCTGCGAGCGTACCCTGCAAGGACAGCACCCTCGCATATAGAGCTCAAGATAAACGAGAAGCTAATAGAAATGTATCACAGGGAGGAGCTCATGTGGAGACAGCGTTCACGATTAGAATGGCTCTCAGCTGGGGACCGCAATACACGATTTTTTCATCTCAGAGCAAGTCAACGGAGGAAAAGGAACATGATAAAGGCACTGGCCAACTCCTTGGGAGTCATGATAGATGACCCGGCAGAATTAAGATCCATGGTTCAGGATTTCTACCTCACTTTGTATACGTCCGAAGGAGTAGATGGCATGGAGGAGGTGCTATCCGAAGTTCCTGTCAAAGTCACAAACGAGATGAACGAGATGCTTCTGGCGCCATATTCGAAGGAAGAGGTAAAAAAGGCTTTGTTCCAAATGTTCCCTACTAAGGCGCCGGGACCGGATGGGTTCCCAGCGCATTTCTACCAGTGGCACTGGGATATATGCGGAGATGAGGTGACGAAGGCAGTCTTGAGAATTATCAAAGGGGAAGAGGGGGCTGGCGTTGTCAACGACACAGTGCTAGTTCTCATCCCCAAGGTTATGAATCCAACACAACTCTCTCAATTCCGTCCCATTAGTCTTTGCAATGTAATCTATAAAATTGCCTCCAAGGTTGTCTCTAACAGGCTAAAGATAGTCCTCCCTGACATAATATCCGAGGAGCAGTCTGCTTTTGTTCCAGGAAGGCTAATTACAGAT